TAAAATTAAAAAAAAAAAAAAGTATATGGAACCTTCACAAAAATGGTCTAGATGTTAATTAAGTCACAGAACTTTAACAGATTCTATAAAATGGAACTCAGATAAGCTACAATGCAGTAAAATTAGAAATTAGTAATAGAAATTAGTAATAGTTGAAAAGGAGCTCTGGTAGCATAGCAGCTAAGGCCCTTGACTGCTAACCAGAAGGCTGATGGTTCAAACCCACCAGCCACTCCTTGGAAGGAAGATTGGGCAATCTACTTCCATAGTGATACTGCCTCGGACACCCAAGGAGGGGTTGCTATGAGTCGGGTCCGACTCAACAGCATATAACAACAACATCAACAACAACAACAACAGTTGAAAAGAAAAACAAACTAAATCACCCTTCTCCTCAAGGAAAAAACATCTATTTGGAAATTTTAAAATGTTCTTCTCGTTCTACAAAAAGTGGGGACAGTGTATAGCAGCAGAAGACTAAACTCCATAAACAGGACACAAATTAAATACATTTGGTAATGGAATACTGCGGTGTAGTAAATTACTTAGTGTGGCTTTTCTACCCATAAGTCTTTGTAAACTCCAAGGTGGGAATTGCTATTAGCAACTGAGGAGATCCTGATTTTAAAGTCGCCCACCTGGGTTATTTCTGTTGGGCGTGGCACAATACAATGTTCTGGGAGGTTCCCACTCTCTCTCATGTGCTTAGAGTTCTGATGCTGTGATTGGCTAGTTTGACCACCCTTCCGGGCTCAAAAGGAGGCCTCTTGGAGGCAGAACTCTCTCTGATTGCTGGTGGAGGAAGACGTGCTGCTGAAAGAGACACGCGCCCCTGAAAGAGACACGCACTGCTGGGAAAGAGACGCAAGAGACATGCATCGCTGAGTGAGACACCGAGGGACCAGCACTGCTGGGAAAGAGACTGTGAGAGACTGTTGGCTGAGGGACGGTGGGCTGGGAGAGAGACTGAGTGTTCTTCCTGAACTTGAGTTGTAGCCTGGTGCTTCCCTAATAAACCCCGTAATCCGTGAGTTCTGTGTGGCCACTGCAGTGAATTATCGAACCCAGGAGAGAGGTGGTGGGTGCTCTGGGAGGAACGGTTGGAGAAAGGACTGGAGGGAGGCAACATGTCTGGCCTGGCAGTAATAGGCCTTGGGTTACTGCTGGTAACCCTGTCTTCCCTTTGTGGAATTAGAGGAGGTCGGAACATGTGGCCTCCTTGCCCTTTTTGCAAATACTAAGCAGCTATATGTGCTAATTGGTAAACATTTTCAAGATACATTAATGTGATGAAAAGAGATAGTATTATATGCTAATATTTGGGTAAATTTTTGAGACAGATATTCATCTACTCATGTCTAGGCAGAGAATGTCACTGGAAGCACACTCAGGAAACTGGTAGTAATAACTGAAGTCAGGATTTACATTTCACTGGTTAAGGAGCTCTGACGATGTAGTGCCTAAGGCATTTGACTGCTAACCAGAAGGCTGGCGGTTCAAACCCACCAGCCACTCCTCGGAAGGAAGGCTGGGCAATCTACTTCTGTAGTGATACTGCCTTGGAAACCCAAGGAGGGGTTGCTGTGAGTTGGATCTGACTCCACGGCAGTAAGTTTGTTTTTTTTTTTGGTTATTCTTATTTGAATTTCTTTCCCTGGTCAAGAGGCAGCGCTTTTTCTGAGACAGAAAAAAATAATGACTTTCTAAGAAATTCTTGGATTAAAAGAGAAAATATAGAAAACATAATTTATTTAAATATGGACACAAGACCATTACATCTCAAAACACAAATAAAGAAGCCAAAGTAGTATTTGAGAAAAGTTAGCACAACTCAGAGAAATTAAATGGAAACAAAATGAGTGAGATTTATAGATCATTGTGAGTGAGGCACATCTTCACTTTAGGGCCAGCACTGCCCTAGAAAGGTCTTTGTCAAGTATCGGAAGAATCAGAACTCATCCACACTTGTGTGTAAGTAAACTACCTGCGACAGGAGGGAAGTATCTTAGAGGATTAGAGAGAACAGTGGCTGGTACCCACACGACTAGACTAGATGGGAAAACTTGTAACTCACAGGTCATTAGGGGGAAGACGCAGGAAGTCTTGTATTGGCTGTGGGGAAGCATCCATCCTGGAGTGAACACTGTTGTAGATTGGCCCAACAAACCATAAAAGCAAGACCCAAAAGGATCAAATGGTTTCCAAGTAACTTACCTGTATCCCAGAACAAAGCTCAAGAAGATTTACAGGAATGCAAAACTACCCAGCACCCAACCAGGCCAACCCACAATGTCTGGCACAGAATCAAAGATTAACCAGGCACAGAAAGAGGTAGGAAAGCATAACCCATATGGAAGAGGAAAAATAACAGTCAATTGAAACCGACCCAGAACCAAAAGAGATGGTAAAACTAGCAGCAAAGGACATTACAATAGTTATTACAACCATATCCTATCTATTCGAAACTTATATAGACTCAAAAAAGATGTAAGACAGAGTCAAATGGAATTTCTAGAGATGAAAACTACAATGTCTAAGATGAAAAACAGACTAGATGGGATTAAGAGAGAATTAAACACTGAAGGAGAAAAGATTAGCAAAGCTGAAAGCACAGCAATAAAAACTATCCTCGATGAAACACAGAAAAGAATCTAAAAAAAATGAAAGAAAGACCAGTGAAGTGAACTGTGTAAAAACTTCAAGTGACCTAGTATTTGGGTAACTAGATTTCTTGAAGGAGTGAGGAGGGTCAGAAAACATTTCACCATGTACTTTCACTATATGACATGATGTGTCCTCTTTCACCTGTGTGCTTTCACTGTGGGAGGTGACATGACCCTTTTTATGCATGTACTTACACTATGTGATATGACATGTACTCTTCCACTACTTGATGTGACAAGTACCCTGAAATTTTTGGCCCCATGAGTCCTAGCCCATCCATACCTTCTGACATGGTGAGCTCATTTGGTGGTGCCTGGGCAACTCCTGATGCAATGGAGTCGGGCCAGAACCTCTGGACTGGTCTGTTCTGAGCAGTTTTTTTCTTTGTTTTTGGAGTTTCTGAACAGCTGGAATCCAACATTGGCTGAAGAATCCTTCGTCTAGCATTGATGAACCTGAATACCAACAAAGAAAAATCTTACATTAAAATGGCCTCTTCAAAGGCCTCCTGCAGGATCAACAAATACATACCATAAATAAGTTTCTTTTTCAAGAATTTTATGACACCAATAATTTATTCATTACAAATACCCCCCCTTTTTTTTGACAACACAAATGGTAACTTATACATGTGGACTTTGCTGGATGGAATAAACAGGATTCAAATTGACTCTATCTATGCAAACATACCATGGAGCAGTTCAATATCATCAGTCAGAATAAGGACAGGGGCCAACTGCATAACAGATTATCAATTGCTCATATCCAAGTTCAAGCTGAAGCTGAAGAGAATTAAAACAAGCCCACAAGAGCCAAAGTATGACCTTGAATATCTTTAACCTGACTTTAGAGACCATCTGAAGACTAGATTTGATATTATACTGAATACTAATGAGTAAAGACCAGAAAGTTTTGTGATGACATCAAGAACATCATAAAGAAAGCAAAAGATCATTAGCAAGACAGCAAAGAAAGAAAAGACCAAAAGAAATGTCAGTAGAGACTCCGAAACTTGGCTGCTGAACTTAGAGTAGCTAAAGTGAATGGAAGAACTGATGAAGTGAAAGAGCTGAACAAAGTATTGTCGAAAAGACAAAGTTTTATAAAGAAATGTAACCTGGAGTTAGAAAACAAAAAGAGAAGAACACATTTGGTATTTCTAAAACTGAAAGATTTTCCACTGAAGAATAAAATCAAGCCTGGAGTTGTACTACTGAAGGATTCTGTGGGCAAAATATTGAATGATGCAGGAAGTATCAAAAAAAGATGGAAGGAATACACAGAGTCACTCTAACAGGAAGAACTGGTTGGCATTCAACCATTGCAGAAGGTAGCATATGATTAAGAATCTATGGATTCAGGATTTCCAATTTTGATCACTTTCTGCGTGATTGGCAGTGGAAGCTGGGCACCATCAATTTCTTCTGGTCTCAGGGTCATGTAAGTTAAGGTTCTCACATTCCATTTGGACTAATTATTTCCATGTGTCTTTCATTTTCTTCACTCTTCTTTGCTCTGGATAAGGAGAGAACACTAGTTGCATCTTAGATGGCTGCTTGCAAGCTTCATAAACAAGTTTCTTAATAGAACATATTGAAAATAATAAAGATAACTCTAATTCTCTAGGATACTGAGAATGTGAGTGTAATGATAAGCATATAATCTAAATGCCCAGAAAAATAAGGCCATGCTGTTTTGAAAATAATTCATTTAAATAAGGACCAACTCTTCCATGATACTTTTTTTTAACTTCAATTGATTTATTCCATATTATGAATTCCTTAGAAGTTTCAAGTACAAAAACATTAAAATAGCAAAACCATATGTAACCTCATTATGTCTGATGAGAATATTTAGGCAAGTGGCATTTATCTGAAAAGCATACCTGGTACTCCTGAGCCTGCCAGGACAACATCTCATGGCTACCTCCAGGCAGAGCTCACCCCAAAATGGGGGTCTGAGTTTAGGATTTCACCTTCTCAAAGAAACAATTCCAAATGATAAGCTATTTGTTGGAGTCCCAAGTTCTAAGTTAATTCAATTGCTCCAGACACCTGGCTAAAGCAGGTATACCTGTGCACTTGGTAGGGATAAGATCCCTCACTGGTTTTAGCTGTTTTTAAGGCCTGAGAACTTACTTCTGTAATATGGGACCATATTCAAACAGAGCAGTGAAATGGACAAGCTGGCAGCTTACGCTAGATATAGTTCCATATACATACAAATGCAGAAAATAACCTTATAATATGTTGAGAGAAAAGACTACTTTCTTCAGTCTCTATCCCTCCCTGTGTCCCCAGCTGTTGCCTTGGAATGTGGGGAAATAATGGAAGGCGAGAGAAAAGAAGGGAGGCTCAAATATCCCTGCAGCTATAGGAGCACCAAAGAAAGTTTGCTTTCTCACTGTGTCTGTTAAATGCACACCAGAGGGCTATCTTGCTATATAAATGAACTGCTGCGGTGTAGTAAATTACTTAGTATGGCTTTTCTACCCATAAATCATTGTAAACTCAGTGGTGGAATGAGCAACTGAGGAGCTCCTGATTGTAAATGCTATCCACCTGGAGTATTTCTGTTGGGCGTGGCACAAAACAATGTTCTGGGAGGTTCCCACTCTCTCTCAGGTGCTTAGAGTTCTGATGCTATGACTGGCTAGTTTGACCACCCTGCTGGGCTCAAAAGGAGGCCTCCTAGAGGCAGAACTCTCTCCGACTACTGGTTGAGGAAGACATGCTGCTGAAAGAGACACGCACCCCTGAAAGAGACACGCATTGCTGGGAAAGAGACACAAGAGAAACGCATTGCTAAGTGAGACACCGAGGGACCAGCACTGCTAGGAAAGAGACTGTGAGAGACTGTTGGCTGAGGGACGGTGGGCTGGGAGAGAGACTGAGCATTTTTCCTGAACTCAAATTGTAGTCTGGTGCTTCCCTAATAAACTCCATAATCTGTGAGTTCTGTATGGCCACTGCAGCGAATTATCGAACCCAAGAGAGAGGTGGTGGGTGCTTTGGGAGGAACGGTTGGAGAAAGGGCTAGAGGGAGGCAGCATGTCTGGCCTTGCAGTAATAGGCCTTGGGTTACTGCTAGTAATCCTGTCTTTCTCTTGTGGGATTAGAGGAGGTCAGAACATGTGGCCTCCTTGCCGTTTTTCCAGCTGCAATGGAAGGAAAAAACAAAAGTCATCCCATAAAAGCTCCAACCATGTCAAAACCTATTCCTATTCATACATTACCTGTAACCCAGTAAAGAAAGGGCTATACTAACCCAGTTTTAGAAGTTATTTCTATGTTCAGTAGTAAGAATGATAAGCCATCTAACCTCTTGCTATTTAACCACATGATAAATTATTAAAAGCTGGGCCTTAGTGGATCACTGAGTAGCCATGTTGATGGTATAATGGAAACAAAGGTACTGCTTTAGACTCAGGTTCTATTCTGTTTGGTCACTGAGGGACAACTTCTTTCATCCTCAGTGTCTTCTCTTCTACAAAGGGAAGATCCAGAACTAGGACTGAGTCAACGCTAAGGCTGCTCAACTTTAAAGTTCTAAGATTCAAGGACATCTCAGATTTTACTAGGACACATTCTAATAACAATATAAATGAACTAGACTGATGTCACAATCGTTCACGTAGAGTAAATGTTTTGTCTCTGGAGCACAAGTCTGCCCTGGATAACAAACTTCTGGATGAAAAAATCAGTGACTCTATCTCTTATCAATGAAAGTTTTGAAGACAAATCCTACTGATGGTTTCAATTATGTTTCTTGTTATTCAAAACTGCCACCAGGCAAAGATGTAAGCTAATGATGATGAATTCAGTTACATCCAAAGATGTAATCTTTGTGAATATAAAAGAACAGAAAGCCACAAAAGATAAAAGCAACAGCAAATATTAAAGGGTTTTAGAATTTTGTAATTAAAAAAACTAGTATCATTAAATTGGTATTAAACTTTAAAATTAAAAGTTGATGCTAAATCTTCTAGATAAGGCAATTCTGTTAACACAACAAGGAGCAAATTAGGGAATACAAGGAAATCATAAATGAGGAAAATTAAGGACAATGCTGAATGGTGACATCAGAATGATCAGAGATGTCTCTCTGTCTGATAAGCAACCCCTAATCAGGTGATCAATCAATCACTACTCTAACAAACCAAAGCATGAGGTGTCAGCATAAGACCACATGAAAATATCCAAGGACATGCTCAATATATTACAAACATCATAGCAACACTATACTTGAAACCTTTAAATTTCTGTTCTATATTTCAAGATTCAACAAGAAATGATTCAGATAGTGCCATGGATTAAACTGTGTCTCCCAAAAATATGTATAACTTGGCAATCCCAGAGCATACCTCCAACATTTGTGATTACATGAATCAGAGTTTTATCATTTATATTAGAATTTACTCCACTTGTAACAAGTTTAAAATGAGCTCTGGTAGTGCAGTGGGCAAGGCATTTTGGCTGCTAACCAGAAGGTCAGCAGTTCAAACCCTCCAGCTGCAATCCATAGGAGAAAGATGAGACAATCTACTTCTGTAAAGATTTGCAGCCTTGGAAACCTAATGGGGGTCACTGTGAGTTGGAACTGATTCAATGGCAGTGGCTTTGGTAACAAGTTTATATTTTATAGTTCAATTAAAAAGATAATAATGCCAAAAGTGGTAGAATGTGTGCCTTTCTTCTAGGTATGTTAACTTTATTAGGCTTCCTACATGTAAACAATTAGTAAATAAAAATGACAGAAACGACTAAAGAACAAAGTGTAGATACGTTTCTAACACTGAATGCCAGTGAATAATAATTAGCAACTCTTATTTAAGGAAAAAAAACAAATGGCAATAATCTAAGAATCCACAGCAACATGGAGCTACCGAAGTAGACCAGGGCGTTTACTCATGGAGCGACTATCCCCCTGTGCATTTCTTTGTTAGGCTACCACATGCTGCTGGGAGCAAAAACCCCATGCACAAATGGTAGAGGCACTGCCTCCCCAATAACAGGTAGAAAAAATGACAAGAAGTTTGAAAAAGTGGAGGGCAGCAAAGGTCCCAGCAAAGGTCAGTTCCCAGCTCACCACCCAGATGCACATCCATGAAGACATCATGTATTTGCATGATGGCGAGGGCAGGGGCAATAAAAAGGATATAGACACCTTCTAAACTAGCAAGAAGCATGTAGTTGAAAAATCCACAGTGAGGTACTGATAATGGAAAATGCAAGTTGTAAGTGTGTGTTGACTTATTCTTAGGCATCTTGGCACCAATTCCAGCACTCTGTTAACAATGTTGTTAGTTAAAAGAACTCATACATTTTCCACCAAATTTCACTGTTAATTAGTGTTATGGATTGAACTGTATCCCCCCAAAATATGTGTTGTAAGTCTAACCCTTATACCTGTGGTTATTATCCCACTGGGGAATGAGTTTTCTTTTGTCATATTAATGAGACAGTATTTGTATAGGGTATGTCTTAATCAGATATAAAAGAGTAGATTAAGCAAGAAAGCAAAAAAGCATAGATGGGGGATGACAGATATCAGGCCACACAAAGATCACCAAGGAGCCAAGGGACAGAAGCTGACAAGAGACAAAGACCTGCCCCCAGAGCCAAAAGAGAGGGTTCCCTTAGAACCAGCACCCTGAATTTGGATTTCCAGCTTCCTAGGCTGTGAGAAAATAAATTTCTGTTTGTTAAAGCCACTTCTTTGTGGTATTTCTGTTATAGCTGCACTAGATAACTAAGACAATCAGTATCAGTATTTCCAAGTGCTCGCTGTTATCAATGGGCAGCATTTCCGAGAGCTGGGCAGCTTACCAGTTGTTCACTTGAAGTAGTGTCAAATTTGTCTGAGCAGCAATCTGTTTTTTCTCATCCTCTGTAGGGTAGGGGTGCTAAAAAGAAAAGAAAAAGAAGGGTGGCTATGAGCTTCAGGTTGTAAAAAAGGAATCATGTTAACCAGGCAAAATGGAAGCCTGTAAGTAATCACTGGTAAAAAAAAAAAAAAAAAAAAAAACCATTAAGCAACAATAGGGCTTTTAACCAAAACCTAACTTTAGTCTTACAAACAGATTGCTACTTTTTTTTCAGAAATGCCCCAAACAGAATGAAGTGCTGTAACCCTCAAGTAGTTGAAAATCCACGTGTAACTTCTGACTCCCCCAAACCTTAACTACTAATAGCCTGCTGTTGACTAGAAGCCTTACTGGTAACATAAACATTCACCACAATTTTTGCTGTAGTTATTAGATTTTCATACAAAGACACACACATACACAACAGATAAGTTTATTAACTATATGGCATGATAATTATTTGTGGAAGTAGATCATCATAAACGTCTTCATCCTTGTTGTCTTCATGTTGAGTAGGCTGAGAGGAAGAGGAAGAAGATGAGGGTTGGTCATGCTGTTTCAAGAGTGGCAGAGGCAGGAGAGGTGGAAGGAGAGAGAGGAGAGGCAGGTATACTTAGTGTAACTTTATGGAAATATATCACAATTTCTGACTTTTTTTTGCTTTTTCATTTCTCTAAAAATGTTTCTATGTGGCACCAATCCTTCTTCCACCATATGCTTTAGTTTCAATGCCTTTATCATAGAAGGGTCCATGTTGTAAAAGAAATCAAAAGCAGTCTTGGGTAATTGGAGCCATTCTGCCAGCCTGCCAAATGTCAATGTGTTTTCTGGCACTGCTTCTATACCTTCTTCCTCATCATCTGGCACTGGTTTGGAAGCACTCATCTCTATCAAATTGTCTGTTAATTTCTCTGGTGGTTTCTATAAGCTGTTGAATTTCTTCAAGGTCCCTGTCTTAAAACCCTTCACCCCATCTTTTTTTCCATAACCTACCATCTGTTTTATGATTTCCTTGACTGGCTATGTTGTGAAAAAAAAAAAAAAATCTGCATATAAGTGGACCCACGTGGTTCAAACCCGTGTTGTTCAAAGGTCAACTGTATTCCTATTAGCAACACCAGAACGTAGCACTGTTGCAGGAACAGTTAAGGATGGTAAAAACCTGATAAACATCAACAGGGTTTTTAACCAAAACCTAACTTTAGACTGCCATCATTTTTTTTTTTTTTTAAGAAATGCCCCAGAGGAGAATGAAGCAATTCTATTAGCCAGCCTAGAACATGCTAATGTTGTAGGGACTGTTATGGTTGAGATGAGATCAGCCACACAATGTCTGAACGCTCATAGGTGGTAACAGTGGTAATTGTACTGACAACCTCTAACGGCTGACTCTGAACCAGGCTCTGGTCTGAGCTCTCAAAACCATCTATACTTTTTGTATCAACTTTATTTAAGTATGATTTATTAACAAACTGCCTCCACTTCAAGTATACAAATTGAGTTTCTACCCATAAAACTTCCACTGCAGCAAGACATAGCTAATTCTGTCAACTCTGAGCATTCCACACTAATCCACCGATACCTCAAAGTCATCCCTGGAAGCAGATGCAAGCATTATTTCACAGATGAGGTAACTGAGGCACAGAGTTGCAAACTTTCCCTCACTCCACAGCTGGTTAAATAGGTGGAGGTGGGAAATGCATGAGGCCAGCTGCGCTGGGCCTCTCACAGGCGGGTGACGCATTCTTATCATTGGTATAATGAGAATAAAGAGACCCTTGAGTGTGCTTCAGTCACTTATGCTCTCTGGAACAAGTCTCTGATATGTTAGCATGGCTATCAGTAAAGGGCCAAACCTGGGGCTGCAATGGGGTGTCAGAATGTTATTCTCTCTTTTATATATGATTCAAAATATTACCAAAGGAAAATATCTATGGTAATAAATAATATTTACAAGATTTATTATTGTTGCCTACATGTAGACAACAGTAAAACAATGCCTCTAATATCCACATGCACTAAAGTTCCTTGTTTTAGACCAGCTGGACCCTAGAAAGTGAACACACTGACAAAATAAACCCATTGCCTTCAAGTCAATTCTGACTCAGAGCAACCCTATGGGACAGAGTAGAACTGCCCCATAAAGTTTCTAAGACTGTAAATCTTTATGGAAGCAGACTGCTTCATCTTTCTTCTACAGAGTGGCTGGTGGGTTTGAACCACCACCTTTTGGTGGCAGCTGAGTGCTTAACCACTGCACCACCAGGACTCCTGACAAAATAGGGTGGTGGAAGTTTATCTGTTTTTTTTCTTTAAGTGAACACTCAATACATTCTGGAAAAGTCGCTGTATGTTACCATGGTAAACCTGGATTAGCACTGGATGTATCCCCAATAGTAGTCTCTTCCCTCAATTTATAATTGAATTTGATTCAATAAATGTGTGGCCACATGCTGGAGGCTGTGGAAATATAAATATTGTTCCAACCCCTTAAAAGGAGCTCTGGTAGCATAGTGCCTAAGGCACTTGACTGCTAACCGGAAGGCTGGTGGTTCAAACCCACCAGCCACCAGCCACTCCTTGGAAGGAAGGTTGGGCAATCTACTTCCATAGTGATACTGCCTCGGCAACACAAGGAGGGGTCGCTGTGAGTGGGGGCCAACTTGACAGCATAGAACAACAACAACCCCTTAAAAAGCTCATAAAATAGAAGAGGGGAAACATAAGCACACAACTCGAGGGAAAACAAAGCAAAAAGCATGATAAATACTGTATTAGGGTGTTAATAAACATACAGGGGGGATATTATTTCAAAGAAATGAGGTCAAGAAGAAATAGAAAATGCTTGATGGAGAAAAATGTGATATTTTAATGGACCCTCATGAGCACAGTCCATTTATTTTTACTGTCTTAGAAATTACTGAAACATTAAAGGAAAAGGAGAAGGAAGAAGTCTCTTAATCTCACCATTTTACTTGTGTTGCATTCTAATCATTTTATCAAGATACATTTATTGGTTATAATAAACATATATACTTTTTTTTTTTTTATTTAGATTTGGGTGAAGATTTACAGAGCAAATTCACTCTCGATACAGCAGTTCACATATACTTTGTCTCATGTCATTGACCACAGTTTACCACAATGCAACAGCTCCCCTCCAATTTCCTCCCCAAGGTACCACTTCCCAGTGTCCATCCCTCCATACTCTCCTGCCCCCTAAGCTGTCTCCCTGTGCATAAGGTGCCCTTCCTTCTCCCATGATTGTTCTCTCAAGGGCGTGTGTCCACTTGAGGTAAATGTTCAACTCACATACCTGTACTTTGCTTGGCTGGAAACCACAGGTGTGGTCTCAATTCCAGACCTGAAGGATAGCTAGGGGCCATAGTCTCAGTGGTTCCACCAGGCTCTATTGGACCAGCAAACCTGGTCCCAACCATCCTCCCCCCCCTTTTTTTTTTCCCCTCCAAATGATTTTGAGTTTTGTTCCACATTGTTCTCCCTCTCTATCCAGGATCTCCTACATCCCTTCCAAGTGGATGACAGTGGTAGCCGGGCACCATCTAGTTCTTCTGGCCTCATATTTGTATAGGTTGCAGATCGGATGGTGTACCAGTCGTGGGGACTGATTGTTTCCATTAATTTTGGTTTTCTGCTTTCTTCTTTGCTCTTGATGAGGAGAGACCCATCGTTACATCTAGATGGCAGCTTGCTAGCTTTTAACATCCCAGTTGCTACTCACGAAAGTAGGAGGTGGAACAATGTTTTGTATAGTATGTTATGCCAATGGAGTTTGATGTCCCCTGTGACCATGGTCCCAGGCCCTCAGGATCAACTACTCAGTCGCTGTGGGTAACTGGCTGTGACCAAGCAGTGACCATAAGCTAGCCCCTTGTCAGTTGTATTATACTCCTGGGGATTCTGATCCTTCACATAAACTTATAGGACCATTGTCTGCCAACCCTATATATGATCCTGGATACACTCCCTCCTTCATAGACATAGTTAATCGTTTAGCCTGTCCACCTATCTATCCATCCATATATTCATGTTTACCTTCACTGAGAACTCAGTACTGTATATGCAAAAGGGTTCATATTTGTTGTCTGTACCTCCCATGTACCTCTCTATGTCTTTCTCATCCTCATTGCTGTCATATTGGTCATTCACATTTGGTACGTTGCCCTTCTCTTCACCCAAATCAATATTTATCTCTGTCTATCTAACAGCATATATACTTAAAAAAAAAAAAAAATATATATATATATAAGCATATATACTTAAAAAAACATATATACTTAAAAAAAATATATGCTCTACTTTTTTCACTTAATATCATTTTCCTCAAGTGTCCTAGTGCTGGCAGCCTTCATCTATCATTTTAGACAGCTGTCTAATATTCCATCAAACTGAGATGCCTGAATTTACAGCCAACTCATTTTCCATCCTTATAATACACAAAGCATTACTTAGTGAATTGTCTCTTTAGGACACATTTGTAGAATGGTCACACTAGCTCAGAGAGAATGAGGTAGTAAGGAAAGAACAAAAAAACAGAGAAAGAAGAGGAGAGAAGCTGGGAGTGAGGTTCAGCACCCAGGGAAGGGACAAGGTGTGGGGGAAACTTCCTCTTACCTGGACTGCTGGGCCACATACCCTGCCAATTTAGACCTGTCCATGGTTATGCCCTCTGAGCCCAGCCCTTGAGCAAAGCAGCACAGTTCCACTTGGAGGAAAGGATCTACCTAACACTGGACAACGGCTAATACCTTAACAGGCATGGGATGCCTGACAGGTGGTTGGAGAAGGGACAGTGAGAAGCTGACACCCCCCAGGCCTCACCTCAGGCAGGTCTGGGCTTGAGGGAGCACAAAACTAGGAAGAGAAGAATAGACAGGAATACTACTCAGGAAGTGAATGTGGCTGTCCAGAGAAGGTATGAAGAGAGGCAAGTCGGGGGCAAACCAGGCATGACTTGAAAAAACTGGCCAAATGGCAGCTGGAACATGTAGCTGAGCTGCCTGCTAAAGCAGTAAATAGCCCTGTACATTCCAGGAGAACAGGAGGCTGAGACAGAAGCACCTGGTAGAAAGCAGTGCCACAGGGATGCAGGAAATGGCCGTAAAGAGTCTGCCCCCTGACTGGGAAGTGGCCTCTGGGTCTGGGTGTAGAGGGCCCTTGGTCTCCCACCTCCCCTCTTGCAGGCACAGGCTGTCACCAGCAAACAATGCCAGCTTTCTCATCTGGGTTTCACCACATGCTCTTTCTCAGAGAGCCAAGCTGCTCACGCTGGCCTCTGCCACCAGACCAGGGGTCACTACTGAAGGCCATTCTGGGGCCAGGGCTGGAAATGACAATGCCACAGAGTGCTGATGGCCAACAGCTTGTTTGGTGATAGGTGTAATTCTCCACACCCAAGTCAGCATGTTTACAGCTGATGCTGCCGCCTTCCTGGGCCTTAGAAGACTCCTCCATAAGCATGGAAGCCACGGCTCCTCCTCCATAAGCAGTTTCCAGCCCAGATAAGGAAATAAGGTGCACACAGATGTACCCACTGAACCAATAACTGGTATAACGTTCTGCGTTAAAATAAATTTCAAGTTATTACACCATCTGCTGACCTTCAATGTACTCACTTCTATATCTCAAATCTTTAATACCATTTCTGCTTCCTCTCTTAGCAACATTTTCAAGACTTTGGTCAAATCCATCTTTTCTGTCTCTACCTCCACCTCTGCCCCCCTTATGCCAGGGTTTCTCTCACATGCATTTAGGCACTTAACGAGAGCTGTTCATTTCCTGTTCACTAGCAGTTTCCTTTGCTATATTTCAAATTTCTTGAAGTAAAGCCCTATTTTTGATAATCCTCCTTCTGATCCATGCTCCACACACTATGGACATGCAACAACATGCTAGTGCCAAGCTCTGGCCCATGGGCTGTCTACGTGAGATTTTCCCATGGTGCACAAGCCACCTCATAGGTTCTTATCAGGCACTGCATATGCTCTTACCCCAATATGCTGGAAGAGCCATGACCGCATCACGTTTGTGGCATGCTTTGGCAGGACGCCCCGCTTATTCTTAGACGAGCCATCATCTGGATGCAGGATGCTAAGATCCTGGTTTAACTGCAGCTGAAGCTGTTAAGCAATTGAAAAACACAAGAAAGCAATTGAGCATCATGACATGTCCAAGTAGCTTTTGACTTCAGCTGGAGACGATGACAAGTACCTCAGGGATAAATGACTGACCACATCTGTGGCACATACGCTGGGGCCCTGTACAGGCCAACTTCTTGAGGACAAAGCTCCCTTAGTGTTATAACCTCTTATAGTAGTACCTCCAGCAAATAGATGCCCTATCTGGCAAGGCTGATGGAGAGTACAAGGAGGCCTCAGGCCCCACAGACAGATCAGGCCTCCAAAGCTGACAGGTGTTCTTCTGATTATGCTTTCTTTAGGGATATACATGATAACCTCTGAGTTCCTAGGCTCTAACAGATTCCAAGCAACAAATGGGCATGGCAAGAGAAGGCAGAAAACAGAGTAGGACATGCCAGTTGGACAGAGAGGAAAGAAAGAAAGAAACACATACATACATACATACATACACACACACACACACATAAAAGACAGAGGGGCTAAGGTTGACAACCTCAGTAGCCACTAAAGATACTGACTACCTCAAGTAATCAAGAAAAGGCTAGATTATATGTTGTCAATTCTATCAGAAAAAGAAAAGACCAAGCAATCTGTTTCCATAAACATTATGCCTAGAAAACCCTATGGGGGTAGTTCTACTCTGTCACATGGGATCACTATGAGTCCAAACCAACTTGATGGCACCTAACAACAACATTTATACTTAGAAACATGGAGGTAAGTAGTAGAAGAACTGGCTAAAAGATTTGAGAGTGGTTGCCTCAGGGGAGTGGGAGACAGTGTGAAAGGTAGGGGCACAGAGTGGTTACAATTTGTTATAAGCCTTTCAGCTCTATTTGCCATTTTGAGTTACAACATTGATAAAAAGATAAAAATTATTGTAAAGAGTAAAATGGAGGCAAAAACACTGTAAACTGGCCAAAACCACTGCAAAAAACTCAAATATACAAGTAATAGTTGTATAAATAAGACTACCAGGAAAGGGGTGAAGGAGGGGTGGAGGAAAAGGAAACCAATGAAATCTCACCCCAAAAAGTTTTAATGGGTTTACACTAGAAGTAGAATGAAAGACTTGTCAATAAGGATGCTGTTGATGGTCCTCTCCTGGAACTCTCACTGGAAGCACCCCAGCCCATGAGATTCCATGTGACCTGACCAGATACTGGGCAGGAACCCACCATGTATGGCAGGATGAGAAATGGTATAGGATCCAGGCTACAGTGGTTTATTTATGGCTGCCACCCAGGCCACTGCTGCTGCCAGCATCTCTACCACTATCCACACCTCCATCATCACTATCACCATTGCCACCCACACCTTCACCATCTCTACCACTTCCATCTCCACCATCACCTCTTCCTCCACCATCATCTACACCTCCTCCACTGCCACCTGCACTGCTACCTCCACCCCACTGCTCCCACCACCACTAATGATGATGATAAGTCACCTGTAACATAGTGCTCTAAGTTAAAGAAAAAGTGACAGTATGATCCATAATGGACAACAACCAATTTCCTTGATAAAACCAACCATGACAGTTTCTGATATAAAAACGTAGAAATCTCTCATTATCTAAAACATATCAAGAACCTAAACTTAAAAAGGGGAAGAGGAGGAGGGGAATAAAGGAAGATGGAGAAGAACAAAGAGGAGGAAGATGAGGAGGAGGAAATCACTTCACATCCCAGCCCTTGAGTACTCAGATGATCTATGAGGTCCCTCACCCCATCAGCAGGCCCTGGCCCTGCCCCAGCTCCTTTGACTCTAGTAGACTTTGTCCTACTAAACCCGTGGTAAGGTAAGGTGATCATCAGTTAGCCTGCTGGCCAGAGCATATAAAATCCTGTTATCTGTTATCTTATTCAGTAAAATATCAACATTCCAGAGCTTGCATGCAGTAAGGCACTACGCCACCAGAGCTCCCAGTAAGGATTCAGAAAACATCTATGAGGGTCAAAGACAAAGAATAAATGTAAAGAATGAAAAAATATTCTTAAATTAAGAATGGGTAACGTAAACATTCTCTTTCTGATATGAATCTCAAAGTATACAAGTACACATACATACACACACAAGTATGTATGTATACACATACTTATTATATATACATATGTATAAACCATATATATACATGAATATATATATGTATATGTATATAAATATGTATATATGTATATGTATATAAACCAGAATGTAAACAAAGGGGTCTTGAAGACCAAATATCCAGTCTTCTCATTTGACCACAGTGGCACTCAGAGAGGGTAGGACAACCCTAAGGCCTCAGGTATTATCCAGGTTTTTCCAACTCTATCCCTTCTGCTGGTGGGGATGCCCCTTTGTTGTAAGAGACCCTTTCCATGGGTGCCCCTATCTTTTTGATGCCTGACACTAGCCATGGGGTGGAAGGTAGAGATCGTGGGCCACAGGTCCCCTGGAGCAGAGCTATACATCTGGAAACATGAAAACGAAAGGCTGAAAGTCACTACTTGAAATGCTCCTTCAGGTGTGTCGCTTGGTGTTTTAAGTGTTCTGGAACATACCTAGGACTAGGACTAGCCTTTAGCCAGCTCTGGCTCAGGAAGGGCACATCAGATTGGCTTTGGAAAGCTATATAAAGCACATAGGCCTGCACCCACCCACATTCTCATCCTGGAGGTCTGGGTGGAGCCTGGCACAGTTGGACAACTGGCCAAGGTAGTTTTCTGTGAGCTTCGAGGTGGGCCCTGTAAAGAGCCCATTTATATAACCTTCAATCTCCTGATGGATCCTCAACCTAAAATCACCACCCAACTCAGACACTGATGTTTCACAAGAGAGATTGCTGCTGGGTAGTGGTGATTTTATTCCTGCTTCGAAGACTTTTCTCAGCTCTGCAAATTTTCTACAATGAAGGAGATATGGAATAAAAATGAGAAAAGACACAAAACATTAACATCTAGATCAATGGAAAACTGCTACATGGCAGCCAGTTTGAGATTCATGAGCATCATGAAGACACAGCTGAAACCTGGTTTTACCTGCACCACACCTCCCCACACCTATGCATGCTCACATCCTTAGGTGCACACACATGTCCCCAGAAACCCTCCCATAAAGACTGGGCACACACCTGTGAATTCTGGATCCTAACTGTCCCAGGCGACAGCGCCTGTGTCACTACTTGACCTTGTGGAGTGACCACTGTGACAGGTTGGTAAACTGTGCCACCTCAAAAAGAAAGCAGAGATAAACCAAATTACTTTTAAGCTATAGTCTTCACTATTTAAAATTAATGTTCTCAATATAGTTATGGAAGAAATAAAGTCTCTAGTTTGATGAACTTTCTTATCATTTCACATGACTGACAATACTCTTTGCTACTTGTCACCATAAATTACTGAAACAAACACATTCAACAAGCAGTACTTGAGTGCCTATGACAGGCATGGCACCACATACAATGCTTCACAGAGTAATTTACATAACATGCAACACAAGGAGTTATAGATTTACATGGGGCTTTGGAATTTCCTTCCTTTTGCTTGTCTGTTTTCTGCTTTTTCCTACAATGAGCATATATCACTTGTTAACACTAACAATTACAGGAAGGGGACAGATTCCAGAGTTGCCTGGTGTATCTAGAACACTGCAGACACAAAACTCCCATAAAAATGAAATAAGGGATGCAAAGAGGGGATAGAAATTTACTTTAAGAAAGAAAAAGACAAATATAATAGCACAAAAGGAAACTCCACAGGAAGAAGAAAGCCCAATTGATCAAAAAAGATAACTATAATAAAAGCATTTTGTCCAATGCCTGTGGTCAAACCCTCAACGGCCCATACTTTCTTGTTTGATATCTAATCTACCCCAGGCAGACTCCTCACAGCCAGGCATACCTGTCTCCAGCTTTGCCACCCACTACTCCCCCTCCTCCTTTCCTTTCTTCATAGCGTTTCCCTTTCTTGAACATTTTGGCAGAGAGATGCCAGTATGCATCTGAGGCTGGGCAGGTTAGCCCCACCCAAGAGGACAGGTGGCTCAGGAGATAAAGGCCTGACACAAATATCCCAAGCCAAAAGGATTGCCAGAATCCCACAGAACATCTCTCATTATTAACAACAATTTTAACACTAAGACTGAAGTTTTATGTGATTGTCATCAATTAACAACTTAAGATTTTCTAGGTGCTGTTACCAGCACAATTAAAATATGTTCTTTGAAAATTACAATTAGTTTTTGTTATATATTTTCAACTCTCACATGAAATCCACCCCTACCCCCCCCAATATTTCTTTGGTAAGAAAAACAAATGGCATAAAATATCTGTCACTGAAAATTAATAACAAACAGGCTCTCAAAGAGTTTGGGATTTCGGTACTGATACATTAGGAACTGATGATCAAGGGATCTATTAAAAATTGTGTTTATGCATTTCTTAGTTCTAAAATAAAGGACTTTTGCTGCAAAACCTCAAGGAAAAGTTGTCCATTTTTTCACTGCACATACCTGCCACTGTTGCCATGGTTACATTTCCCTGCTGCAGGGCAGATGCGGGCACCACGATGCCCTGGGGGCTGAGTGTGCCTGTGATGGCGCTCGGGATCTGCTGCAAGGCATAGCACACAGGTGTAAGTCATTATTATACCAAAGAAATCCCAGGCTTAAAACTTCAAAGTAAGTGGCATAATGATGTCATTAATAAAGAAAAGAAATGATAGCCTATAATAAAGCATACATTACATACATAAAAACTGAGAGATGCAAACTTTACTGCATATTAAATGTAATGGTCAATACTGAAAGGTTAGTTTGCTAAGTGGATTCCAAAAGATTATCTTTCATCTTATCATTATGTTAAAAACCCCTTATCACCTGTGAGATGTGACTATGAAGAGGCTACCATCTGACCAAAATTGCCTAATTTGATCAGCCACTTTTTTTTTTTTTTTTAAATCATGACTTGGGTGTAAGTTTACAGAGCAAATTCACTTTCCATACAGCAGCTCACATACACTTTGTCTCATGACATGAACTACAATTTCCCACAATGCAACAGCTCCCCTCTATTTCCTCTCCATAGTTACCTCTTCCCTGCGTTGTTCCCTCCATGCACTCCTGCCACTTGAGCTCTCTGTGCACACACAACCCTTCTATTCTCCCATGACTGTTCTCTCCAAGGAGTGTATCTCCCTGATGTAAATGTTCACCTCATATGCCTCTCTTTTGTTTGGCTGGAAGCCACAGCAGTGGGTTCAATTCTAGACTTGAAGGGCAGCTAGGGGCAATAGTCTCAGTGGTTCCATTAGGCTCTATCAGACCAGCAAACCTGGTCCCCATTTTTTTATTCCCCAAATGATTTTGAGTTTTGTTTCACATTGTTCTCCCACTCTATCCAGGATCTCCTATATAGATCCTCCTCCAAGTGATTGACAGTGGTAGCCGGGCACCATCCAGTTCTTCTGGCCTCATAGTCATATAGGCTGATTACCGCATGGTGTACAAGTCACATGGACTAATTGTTTTCACGTGTCTTTGGTTTTCTTCATTCTTCTTTGCTCTGGATGAGGAGAGACCCATTGTTGCATCTAGAAGGCTGCTTGCAAGCTTTTAAGACTCCAGTCGCTACTTGCCAAAGTAGGATGTGGAACAATGTTTTTGTGTAGTATGTCATGCCAATTGAGCTTGATGTCCCCTGCGACTATGGTCCCGAGCCCACAGGTCCAACTACTCGCTCCCTCTAGGTAGCTGGCTGTGGCCAAGAAGTGACTACAACCTTGTCAGCTCTACTATAAACCTGGGAATTCTTATAGAACATACCAATACACTTGTAAAAACATTGTCTGCCAACCCTATACATGATCTTGGGCACACTCCCCCCTGCATAGACATATCTAATAGTTCAGCCTGTCCACTCATCTATCCACCCATATACCCATGTTTGCCTTCACTAACAATGGAGCTTTAGTAGCATAGTGCCCAAGGCACTTGACTGCTAACCAGAAGGCTGGTGGTTCAAACCCACCAGCCACTCCTCAGAAGGAATGCTGGGCAATCTACTTCCACAGTGATACTGCCTCAGCAACTCAAGGAGGGGTCACTATGAGACGGGGCTGACTCGATAGCACGTAACAACAACAACACAACAATGCTGTACTGTATGTACAAAAGGCTTCATCTTTGTTGTCTGTACCTCCCATGCACTTCTCTCTGTCTTCCTCTTCCTCAATGCCGTGTTGATCACTCACATTTAGTACATTGCCCTTCTCTTCACCCAAATCAATACTTAGCTCTACCTATCTAACAGTGTTCCTACCCTACCCTCCCATCCATGGTAACCAACAAAGAAAATTTCCTTCCCTATATAAAACTTTCCTGGACTTTTTACAATAATGGACTAATATAGTATTTGTCCTTCTGTGATTGACTTATTTCACTCAGCATAATGTCCTCCAAGTTTATCCACGTTATATGGTGTTTTGCAGATTCTACGTTATTATTTAGGATTACATAGTATTCTATCGTGTGTATGTACCATAGTTTAGTTATCCATTCTTCAGCTGATGAACACCTAGGTTGCTTCCATCTTTTGTCTATTGTAAATAGTGCTGCGATGAACATGGCTGTGCATATATCTGTTCCTGTCCTGGCTCTCACTTCTTTAAGATGTATACCTAATAATGGAATGAATGGGTCAAATGGTATTTCTAATACCAACTTTTTCTGCATCAATTGATATGATCATGTGGTTCTTCTCCTTTGTTTTATTTATATGGTGGATGACATTGATAGTTTTTCTAATGTTGAACCATGCTTGCACACCTGATATGAACCCCACTTGGTCATAATGAATTATTTTATTGATATGGTGTTGGAGTCTATTGCCTAGGATTTTGTTGAAGATTCTTGCATCCATATTCATAAGGGATATTGGTCTGTAGTTCTCCTTTTGAGTGATATCTTTGCCTGGTTTTGGTATCAAGGTTATGCTTGCTTCATAAAATGAGTTAGGGAGGATTCCATCATTTTCTATGTTTTGGAATAGTTTGAGTAGGATTGGTGTCAGTTCTTCTCTGGATGTTTGGTAGAATTCTCTGGTGAAATGGTCTGAGGCAGGACTTTTTTTTTGTTGGTAATTTTTTGATGACCTATTCAATTTCTTCTTTTGTTATGGATCTGTTCAACTTTTCCACATCAGTCTGTGTTAGTTTAGGTTAGTGATGTGTTTCTAGAAATCTGTCCATTTCTTCCACATTTCCAAATTTGTTGGAGTATAGTTCTTCCCAGTATCCTGGTATTATCCTTTTTATTTCAGTTGGTTCTGTTGTGATGTCACCCGTTCCATTTGTTATTTGTGTTATGTGTATTCTCTCCCTCTTTCCCTTTGTTAAATTTACCAGTGGTTTGTCAATTGTATTAATCTTTTCAAAAAACCAACTTCTGGTCTTCTTGATTTTTTCTATTGCCTTTCTATTTTCTGTTTCACTGATTTCTGCTTGAATCTTGATTATTTCCTTTCTTCTAGTGACTGTAGGCTTTTCTTGCTATGCTTTTTCTAATTGTTGGAGGTGTTGGTTTAAAGTGTTGATTTTGGCTCGCTCTTCTTTTTTGATGTGTGCATTTATTGCTACAAATTGGCCTCTGATCATTGTTTTTGCTATGTCCCAAAGATTTTGGTATGTTGTGTTTTCATTCTCATTTGATTCAAGGAATTTTTGAATTTCAATTTTGATTTCTTCTCTTACCCAGTCTTTCTTAAGGAGAGTGTTTTTCAGTTTCCATGTGTTTACTCTTTTTCTGTTGATCTTACTATTGTTGATTTCTAGTTTGAAAGCTTTGTGATCTGAGAAGATGCTTTGCAGTATTTCAATGTTTTTAAATTTATGAAGGCTTGCTTTATGGACTAACATATGGTCTATCATGGAAAATGTTCCATGTACACTGGAAAATAATGTATATTGTGCTGTTGTTGGGTGAAATGCTCTGTAGATGTCTATAAGGTCAAGTTGGTGGATTGCATTGTTTAGCTCTTCTGCATCTTTGTTGAGTTTCTTTCCAGTTGTTCTATCTTTCATTCAAAGTGGTGTATTAAAGTCTCCTACTATGACTGTGGAGTCATCTATCTGCCTTTTCAACTCTTTTAAAGTCTGATTTATATATTTTGGGGCTCTTTCATTGGGTATATAGATATTTATTATGGTTATATCTTCTTGTTCAATTGTTACTTTAATCACTATACAATGTCCTTCCTTGTCTTGCATGGTGGTTTTTATCAATGCATTTTTTTTTTTGCAGTGTTCCCTCCCCTCCCCTCCCACCCCTGGCAACCAACAAAGAAAGTTTCCCTCCATATATAAACCTTTCCGTGACCCCCCATAACAATGAACTAATACTATATTTGTCCTACGATTGACTTATTTCACTCAGCATGTCTTCCAAGTTCATCCATATTATGCAGTGTTTTGCAGACTCTACATTATTCTTTAGTGCTGTGTAGCATTCCAGTATGTGTACGTACCACAGTTTGGTCATCCACTCTTCCGCTGATGGGCATGTAGGTTGTTTCCATCTTTTTGCTATTGTAAATACTGCTGTGATGAACCTGAGCGTGCATATATCTGTTCCTACCGTGGCTCTCACCTCTCTGGGATATATACCTAGTAATGGGATTGCTGGGTCAAATGGTATCTTCAATTCCAACTTTCTAAGGAATCACCATATTACTTTCCACAGTGGTTGTGTCACTTCACAGTCACACAAGCAGTGTATGAGAATCCCAATCTTTCCCCATCCTCACCAGCAGTTGTTATTTTCTGTCTCACTGATCCTTGCCATCAGTGCTGGAGTGAGACAGTATATCTCATTGTTGTTATGATTTACATCTCTCTGATGGCCAATGATTGTGAGCATCTTTTCATGTATTAGCTGACCACCTGAATATCCTCCTTGGTGAAGTGTCTACTCATGTCTTCTGCCCATTTTTCAATTGGATTGTTAATTCCTTTGGTGTTGAGGCATTGGA